GATGTTAATTCCCGTGACGACGTCAGCGAAGGAAGAAATGGCCAAGTTTTGGGAGAAGAACACCGAATCCAAACGGCCGTTGTCCCCGCATATCAGCATTTACAAGTAAGGGGCGTCTTTAATTGCGATCGAGCGCCTTTCATAATGTCCTGAATTGCATTCCTTCCCACGGGAATTAACATCCGCGAGGTGGGCTGGGTTGAAACAGAGAGCGTCCTTCTATCCCGCTTTACCGCCCTCTCTAAAGCGGTTTACAGAGCCAGCGTCCTTCGCCTCCCAACAATCTGGATCCCCCTGTCAATAAATGCCAATAAAGAAGAATTTTTATAGCTCGGGGCAACGAGGGGGTCCTTGGTGCTCTCTGAGCTTGGTGGTTTCCTTGCAGACGTTTCTTGACCCAACTAGGTAACATCATCAGTGCTAGAAGGGAGAAGGAGGAAGGGGAGAATTGTGGGGTCCTTGGTGCTCTCTGAGCTTGGTGGTTTTCTTGCAGACGTTCCGTGACCCAACTAGGTAACATCATCAGTGCTAGAAGGGAGAGGGGATTGCTTTCTTCAAGCAAGCAAACTCCTTCCCTCCTAGCACTGATGATGTTACCTATTTGGGTCGTGAAATGTCTGCAAACGATCAAGCTCAAAGACCCCACAGTCCTTCCTCCTCCTCCTCTTTCTCCTCCTTTTTCTCCTCTTCCTCCTCCTCCTCCTCCCTGCAACTTCCATTTTCTTCTAAGCACTGATGATGTTACACAGCTGGGTAATGAAACGTCGGCAACAAAACAGCCAAGTTCAGAGAACATCAAGGACCCCACTGTCCTCCTCCTCCTCTCCACAAGCCCCATTCCCTTCTAGCACTGATGAAGTTCCCTAGTTGGGTCGTGAAACATCTCCCAAGAAAACCACCAAGCTCAGAGAGCACCAAGGGCCCCACAATTCTCCCCTTCCTCCTCCTCCTCCCTTCTAGCACTGATGAGGTTACCTAGTTGGGTCATGAAACGTCTGGAAGAAAACCACCAAGCTCAGAGAGCACCCAAGACCCCCTGGATGGAAATGTCCTACCTAACCCATCATGCTGAGCTTCCCTCCTCCTCTTCGTGTTCTCTGTTGTTAATGACCGCACCGTTCACTTAATGGCCACCGCCAAAAAGGTCGTTAAAAAAAAAAAACCAGGTGCGGCCCCATGAAATTGTCTCCCAAACCACCACAATCTTAACCGCCGTAACTCCAGGGCTGCCTTTCAGCCATAAGTCAAGGACAACTTGTGCCTCCATTGACCTGCGTTGAGTTTCTCCCTGGGGGAGAAATCACAACCCCAACATTGGTAGCCAAGCTCAAAATCTTGGTTAATTTCTCTTTAAGTCCTTGGCCTGTTCCTCTGTCCAGGAGAATTTCTCCCCCCGTGTGGCCCTCTCATTCCTCAGCCGCCTCCGCAGATTCCATATTCCTTCTCTGGTAGGATTCCTCGAATAATTTGGAGTGGGGAGCAGTTCAGAAGAAGACCTGGAACAGTTTGCCCTGGCCTGGCCTGAGCTCAGCACTCGGGATAGAGAATAGCGGCAGTAACGGAGTGGGAAGGGACCTTGGAGGTCTTCTAGTCCACCCCCCTGCTCAAGCCGGAAGACCCTAGACTGTTTCAGATAAATAGTTGACCAGCCGCTTCTTAAAATACCCGTGAGGGAGAAGGAAGGAAGGCAGGCAGNAAAAAAATCTGGGTGCATTTTAATGATGCGGGGGTGCGCAACTATTGTTGTTTTTTTTTATTGCAATTGGACTCTGGAGTTTGGTAAGTAAAATATTTCAAAAAGTGAGTGACTTTCTGGGGGGGGGAGAGGAATTTCCTGGGGCGACCGAGAATGCTGGGAGTTGAAGTCCCAGTGGAACCTGGCATCAGATCTACACAACGGCATCAATCCGAAGGCTTTTAATTTAATTTAATTTGAGACAAGCAGAATATAAATTTGAAAAATACAACAAAATAAAAAACCTACACGCCCAGGATCAGAAAAATAACAAGAGGTATTTGGGCAAATCAATAGATAAATATAAAAAACCTGATTTCTAAGTCTGCCCCATACAGAATGTGGTTTTTGAAGAGACCAATTCTCTGAATTTTTATTTCATTTATTTACTAGCTGATGACCTGGCATTGCCCGGGTATTTATAGACGTTGAAGTGTTCGTCTGATAGAGGCCTTTCTTTCCCTGTACTACCATGCCCATCATCCCTGCCCTCTCCCTTCCCCCCCCCCATGACCTTCTCTTTCCCGCCCTGACACCTTGCCCCAAATCCATCAGGCGCTTCACCATTGGTCCACTAGAGGGAGAACGTCACGGCTGCCTTTCCAGAGGAAGCTGCGAAGGAACTGACATCACAAACAATTGCCGCTCTAGGACACCGTGCTCGCTCTCCTTAACGGGCCAGGCATTCCAGAGTTATGCTGGAACACACACACACAGACACACACATACACATACACGCAACACACACACACCAGGGGTGTCTTATCCCCCCGGTATTTTTTTCCAGGGGGTAAATCATCTGTGTACCAGATTTGGTTGAGATTGCTTGAGGCATTCCAGAGTTATACTGGAACATACCTACATATATACTTCCTTATTTAGAAGATAGATAGATAGATGATAGATAGATAGATAGATAGATAGATAGATAGATAGATAGATAGATAGATAGATAGATGATAGATAGATAGGATAGATAGATAGGGAAGATAGATGGATGGATGGAT